TCACCCGAGGCTTGATTAGAGATACTGCTGCTATTGGCCCAAGCATATGTAACATGATCAACTAATAATGGCGCTTTTCTGCCCAGCCAAAACGGAAAAGGGAAAAAGAACCACGGAATTGCAAAATCAACTGACCTTTTGTACAGTTTCCTCGATATTGGCTGAAACGTTTAGTAAGATATTTTTGGAAAATTCTTTTTATCTCGAACATGGACAGGCCTCAAACACATTTTGCTTACAAATCATTGTACTTATATACTGGTAAAGTGTACCAAAAATGTTCATTCAGCAGCCAAATTTTAACAGATGCAGATTTCTTTACAAAGCTAGAAATAAAGACAAATACAAATACCATGGCATTTGGTTGGATGAACATCTTACATGGAAATTAACTGTACATGAATTAGCAAAATATGCGAGTCTTAAAATAAATTTATTACATGCCGCGGTATGTCATACAAAGTTTATACTAGACTTTTTCAGCCATTAGTACAACCGATTACGTTATACGGCGCTGGCAACTGAGGTATTGCTGAACAACAGTTAATGACTGGTAATAAAATACAAAGTCGGGCAAGGTGTACCATTGAGTAAACAAAGAGCTATGGCGGAAAACTGCCCGTATTTCCCTAAGTCGGCATTTTTTAAAACGGAAAAAAATGTTAACGAGTAAATCACTTAAAGTAGCGAAAATGCATGGAATATATATCAAACCAATTGATTATGAATTTTTGAACTGTTGATATATTCGGTATTATTTAATATAATACTGCAAATATAGCCATATTCACTATATCTATGAAAGTGACGGGGTTTCCCCGACTTAAAAAATTGCATTCAATACTTTCCCATCCGAGGACTAACTTTTGAGTAAATATTTTGATTCCGTGGTGTAATATCCTAAAACAAATAGTATGACGGAAAAGTGGTCCTCCTTTGGGAAAGTGCTCAAAATAATGAAAAAAAGGGTTGATCAATTTTTTCAAAACTGCGATAGATGTTTCTTGGGTTTAAACAGTTTATATATCAATATTCGTCTATATTCTATATGTCCTCTGTAGCCTAATGTGTAACGCAGTTAGATTAGGACCAGAAGGAGAAAACGCTGTAGGTTCGAAACCACGCACATCTACTTTTTATTTAATATTTAGGCATGTGATCATTTTCCTTAATTAAGGGATAAGTATTTTTCAAATCAATAAAGCATTTTATTGATATCTAAATAACATACATATTGGTTTATCTTCTATGGAATCATGTCAACAAATCCCTGTACGCGTGTACAGTACAGCTACGCTTTGTAGGTACATGTAAGACATCATTTAAATGATATTTATGAATTGTTTTACCCAGTATTTTAATCCATTATTTAAACACAAACAAATGATGCCGAAATAAAAAAAAAAAATAGGATTGTTTCGTCAGAATAAAAAAAAAGGCAAAGCAAAAAAACCACTGTTATTATCGCATAGATATTACTAAACATGCGGGAAAATTCATCGTCGAGGACAGTCTCATTTGTTTTAAAAGCAGGACTGAAGACTGCAGCACAAAGTAAGGAGCGCAATACACGTGTAAGATATGCTTTTTGAAAATTATATGTAATTTTAACATTCTAAGGTGCAGGACGAACAAAATCAAGATGTGTGTTTTTTAAGTAAGCGGGTAACGGCATGACTTTGGCAGTAGTATTGAAAATTAAATCCTTTCAAACTTGTTGGTATTGATTGTAAGATCTAGTGTTTACGCAAAATAAACATTTTGTTGAGTCTTTATCGTGAAACGCATGTGTTAATAGCCATGACCTTAAATTCGTCCGTTTAAAATAATCTATTCTTAGACATGGGATTCCGATAGACCTACCTGTAGACAAATACCTGAGGACGCGTCATAACAGTGCACGGCTGGACGCGCGCACTAGCGGGTCATAACTTTGGGGAAATAAGCATAGCAACCCGCCATAGCTCTTTACTTAAATATTGGAGTCCAAGGAGATTTTGGATGGAAATCTTGTCACACGAAACAACACAAAGAAGTGTTTAGAGAATAGGCCTTCTGTAGACTACACAATATGGATAATGATAGGGTGCTACACTATGTCTTGGTCATCGATGAGAGGAAAATCATGGCAATTCGGTAACAAGAAATCCCAGAGGGATCTTGGAGCCCACCATTGTACCATCTTCATTAGTTCTTCGTCAGTCCGATCTTTTCTCTCCTTTTCTCTAATCTGTTTGATAGAGTCATGTTAACTGTAAATGCACCTTGAGGTAACTTTTGATCTAAACTTAAAACTGCTGTGTATAAAAGACAACCTTCAAAGTGAGTTTTTCATTTCACATATTTACTAGTACAGTACTTAATGTAAAAGAAATAGAATCGATCATTGAAATATGAGTACAATTTTATGATCAGTCTCAAAATATAACATGCACAACGAGGGATCAAGGGGAACCTACATATCAAATTTGAGAAAGATCCCTCAAGTTATCGCTGAGAAATAGTACTAACAAACCTTTAATGTCAAAAATCGAAGATTGCTGTCGGTCGGCCTGATCAGTTTCATAAGTAAACATGAACAATAAAGGATAGTGGGGAACCTGCATATAGAATTTGAGAAAGAACCTTCCAGTACTTCCTGGGTAATAGCACTAACAAACCTTAAATGTCAAAATCAAAAATTTGTTTCATAAGAAAATATGCATAACTTCATACCAAGGGAACCCACATAAAACAATTAAGAAAGATATCTCCAGTACTTCCTGAGTAATAGCCATAACAAACCTTCACTGTCAAAATGGCTGCCTGTCGGTCATTTTGTTTATCTGATCAGGCTCAAAAGTAAATATGCACAACTAAAGACCTAGGGGAACCTACATATAAGATTTGAGAAAGATCTCTCCACTACTAATTGAGAAACAGCGATAACAAACATTCACTTTCAAAATCCAAGATGGCTGCCTGTCGGCCATTTTGTTTATCTGATCAATCTTAAAAGTTGACCTGCACATCTAGGGACCAACGGGAACCTACATCTAATATTTAAGAAAGATCCCTCCAGGACTTCCTGAGAAATAGCGATAACAAACCTTCAATATCAAAATAGAAGATGGCTGCCTGTCGACCATGTTGTTTATCTGAAACTACAGACCAAGGGGAGACTACATAACAAACTTAGGAAATATCCATTCAGTTCTTCCAGAGAAATAGTGATAATAAACCTTTACTGTCACAATCCAAGATGGAGGCCTATCGGCCATTTTGTTTATCTGATCAGGCATCAAGAGTCTGGTTGAGCGAGACTATCCAAAAAGTTGACCTGCACAATTATAGTCTCGTTCAACCAGATCTTTTTGCCTGCGCAAGCTACGCCGAACAGAGAGTCTGGTCGAACCCAGTACTTTCGTTTTGTGACAGCATAACGAGGCTTACCAGAATTCTAGTAAATGATTTCATTGGTCAAAGTTTGACACACCCTTTTCAACTTTTAAAGTCAGAATTTGAGTGGCGCAAAATTACATTGAATATTTCAATTCTTGAAAAAATTACCTGTACATGCATTCCTGAAGTATCCATGCTTTCACTATTAACGAGAAAAATGTTAGACCATGCTTCAAAAAGGATGATTTCGTGTAATTTCATTGGATATTTTACAATAATTCATGAAGCTAACAACTAAGGATATTGATACAAGTCAAGCCAGATTACCTGAGTGAGAACTTGTAGGTGTTTTGAATAGTGTACAGGTAAAATCTCACTTGCTTTGCATGCTTTTTCCAACTCAGTCAGTGTTGTTGGCTTTGTGCTCAGTTATGATTTATTCAGTGGAAATATATGGCAATATTCTGGAGATTTGACACATTTTCTTACATAGTTCTCGATAATAGTGAATACGCGGGTACTTCAGGAATGCATGTATAGTTAAGTTTTCTCATTAATTTCATTTTTCATTGAAATGTTTAATGGCGTTGACATAACGTCCAGAAACGAAAGTAAAAACACTGCCCTCTGGTGCTGGTAATTTTTAAGTACTGTACGTGTGTTTGACCAGACTCTTGAATTACAATTGATCAAGCGTCTGGTTGAACGAGACTAGCACAACTACAGACCAAGGGGGAACCTACATATACAATTTGAGAAAGATCCCTCTGGTACTTCCTGAGAAATAGCCATACCAACCCTTCACCGTCAAAATCCAAGATGGCTGCCTGTCGGCCATGTTGTTTATACGATCAGTCTCAAATGTTGCCCTGTACAACTAGGGACTAAGGGGAACCTACATATAAAATTTGAGAAAGATCCCTCTGGTACTTGTTGAGAAATAACAAGAATTGTTCAAAGACCGATGACAAAGGTTGGGCGAATTAAATAGCCTACCATCAGATGGCGGTGGGCTAATAAACATTGTGTATCGGCTCTTATTAACAGTGATCCCTCAGATAAGACTAAACTAGTGTTATCAATAAGAACGATGAGTCTACATGGTTCGCAAAACTATGGAAGGATAAACCTTACATATCACGACACTTATCCCGCGTCAATATCATCAGACTCGGTCGTCGTCCTTTGAGGATGGAAACTGGTCGTTTACATGTCCATTATGGGAAACTTTTAATGTTCCGATAGAATTTATTTTTAGGAGATGTTTCAGGATTAATCACTACATCTTTGGAACTGTTAAAATAAGAATTTCATGCTTTCCACTGCTGGACTATTGTGTAAAAATACGATTGTTATCCTACCTAACGATACTTTTGGTTAGCAAGACGTTTTGGTGTGGTTTGGTTGAGTATGGAGAGCTCAGCTAGTGACAATACTGTTTAATCATGCAAGGAATCTTGTGATGTTTTTGAACTCAATACAAACCTGTATTCTAAACTGACTTTAAAACAAGTTTAGTTCTCTTTCAAAGAGTATATATTTGCAATATTTGTCTGCCGACACAACATGTGATGAGACCTACGTTCCTTTTTGAGATTATAAAAAGTCCAACACATTTATTATTAAACTATAACCAGCATTTATTGGTCAATGTGAGCATGATTTCATGACAAAATACAATTGCACAGCAAAACGAAGAGCAACAGCCCTTCAGTTTGTCTAATTCTCAAGGTCAACGCCATCCCTTCTCTCCATTCACTCGTGTCCCCCGATTAATCCCACCACATGCTGTTGCATCATAATGGTCTATCAAAGATCCAGGAAAAGGACAGAGTTTTATGCTTTTTTTGTAACAAGGACAATGAAAAAATATTTTTTAAGATATAAATGGGTATTTATCTTCTTTTTTTTTAATGACTATTTTTAACTGTGTAATATTCAAATACAGATAATATATAATTGTATGACATAGGAGTTAACATACTTGTATGGTTCAATAACAAATGGTGTTGTCATGTTGTTTACATGCTTAATTACAAATCAGAATCAGGGATTTTTTGTAAATTATCTACAAAATACCTGTCAACAAAATGAACGAAACTTTATCAAAAAGGAACAAAATCAAATTCATAAATTATCAAATAATTGATCTCATAATTTTACGAGTGTGACCATAATTTTCAATAAATATGACAGACAAGTATTTTCCTTTGAAGTGTAGTCATTCAAAAAGAGTATTTATATCAGTAAATGTAATTTAAAAAAAATCTAGCTTTATTGCAATTCAATTTAAACTCTTTGGATTATAATTAAATTCATTGGGTTTTACATCTGGTTTTGATGATACGTACATCATGAAAACGATATGCACATTAGGTAAGGTTTTGTATAAAAAATCAGACTGACATTACATGTCGAAATAACACTATAGTACCAATCCCACTTGCACACAAGTATATCATGTACATGTTGACATATGCTTTAACAACTTCTTCAATTTCAAATGTTTTACCTTGTGACCAAAAATGAATTGACCTTCAAATAAACTCCCACAAGTATCAAAATGTTTTCTTCAAGAAGAGCTTTGGGCGAACTCACCCAAAATTGCATACTGTACCTTGTTGCATACACATTTAACACGGTAATATGGTATGTTTCTGAAGACTTATTCAGGCACTGAAAACTGTCCTCAATTCACTTATTTCTATTTAATACTGAATACATGATATATTGTGTGAAATTATAATTAAATATTTTTGTATAATGCATCAAATTAAGCCTATATACAAATATTAATGTGAGCTATTAGTTTAGTACTTTGTTTAATTTACAGAACATTATATTCTTCAAGTAAAGCAAGCTTTCATGACAAAAATCAATGCAGAGCATATAACATGCACCAAATCAAAAAATATTTAACCAAGAAGTTTAAAAACTAAAATTGTATATGAATGCCTGAAAACAGAAAACTGCAGATTTAAGGAAAATAAAGGAAAATAAAACAAGGATGTTTACTTTCACATCAATCAATATAAACACACATAAAGGTTTGGTGATTCCTAACATCACCCAACAAAGCGGCAGTGGTTGCAAGATCGATACAAAAGATTCCAATCAACAAGATAGACGCACATACAACCAGTGTGTAAATAAACATTACACCGTGACCTCAAGTATCACAGTACATATATACATCACACTTTAACTACGTACAATAAAGTCAAAGGTTTAAACACTTTTTTGTGTGAAAAAGAAATCTACATTGTCAATACTGTAGAATTGCTGCCAGCCAACACCCACTTTTATAGCACTTCGTCCCCATGACGTTTCCATGTGAACTGCCATAATGACTTTAAAATAGTCCATGGTAACCAATGTCATCAGGACGGCACACCATTGTCGGCCTCGGACCCATCACATGTCTACATGATCTGCTCCTTGAGTCGGCCACCATCTCCCTCAGACACAAAACGCTTACGTCCCCTGAAACACGACAGCATATTTAGTCAATATTAGTGCACAAATAACATATTAAATCCTCCACAGGCATTGCTTGCATTACTTTTTTTGTTCGTGTTATACCAATTTGTTCCGATACATGATTAATTGGAGACAACTCAACAATGACACAGTGACAAAGTAAATACTACATCCTTTAGGGCTGTCACAATATATCAGAAAACAGGTATATCACAATACACAGGTAACAGTATCGTAACACAATACAGAGATGACATATTGCTGCATCGCAATATTTTTCAAAAGCATATATTTTTATTTATCTGCTCAGTGTTTTAACTTTGCAAATTACTACAAATTCTAACAGATATAACAATTAAGCAAAAAGCAGGCTTTTAATAGTTCAAATGTTGTAATCGATGGTTTGTTTGACAAAAATCTTAAATCTATGTTATCCATATATTATTTAATAAAACACAAAGACTATAATCCACTAGTGCTTTCGCCCATCTTGGGATCCATATTATATATGATTAAGTTTAATAATATTCTTACAACTTATAAAATTGAGCACATCCTTCCTATGACGATATATATCGGGATATGTATCGCAATAAATCATTCTGTATTGCAATATATAGTGATACACTCTTCGAGTATTGTGACACACCTAACATTCTTCTATTGTTCCCATGTATGATTTGTTGCATGGAAGTTCCCCCAACATGTGCACTTTCCCAAATGTTCTTAATTGATATGCCCTATATTTCTCCTGACTGATTTTCAGCATGTACTGCTCAAGTCTGCATCCCTCGCCTAATTACTAATGTAAATCTTCGACCTATATACCAGGATATTTTCTTCCACATGCAACAGAAAATATATTTACTACCTATATACTAAAAGCACATGATGGCATACCTCTGAGGTAGTTCTTGAAAGAGATCACTAGATATCACCCCTCCCTTGTGGCACAAAGTGGCAAATCGCTCTAACAGGGTGTAAGCTGCCGGGACATCCAGAGTAATATCTGGCAGTGCATCATATACCCGCTTAAATCCCTGCAAAATATAGAGATCACATTGTATTAAAAACAAAATACTGTGTGGGATAAAAAAAGTGACAACAAACTATTCTATTTGTTTATGAACCCATAACATGTTTTGTTTTCTCTGCATGCTCCAGTTTCCGCCAACATTAAGACCCCTCTGTGCACTTCTATCTGGGCCATCAAGAGTAATTGATACAAGTAAGAAAACTTTTTTTGTAACCTTTGTAAAAAGAATAGTGTATATATCTATTAAAGACAGCAAGGTTAAATGACATCCTGCAATAAGTCTTTTGTACAAGTATCCTTTTGTAAAAGAGGAATGTTACAAACCTGACACATTTGTTCTGGCGTAAGAACCAGTGTATCACCCCATGATTTCAATAGGTTACACATCATATCAGCTGACCGCTCACTTCCATCCTCCAGCACTATAACGGTAGCCTGTAAAGAAATATTATACTTCAATTATATAACAGTACATCAGGTAAGTATTAAACTCTCCGATTCAAAAATTACCACTCAAAATTGCTTTAGTTTTAATTGACAACTAAAGCTTGGTTAACTGAAAAGAGAATTGATGATGGTAAAAAAGGATCATGTGATCACTTTCAAATTGTTAACTGAATTTCACGACATGACTCACCTCATAGACAACCTCGTGATGGAAGTGCGGAACTTCTAATTCCTGGAGACACTGTGTGGCCTCATGAATGTCTCCCGCAGCCAAGTATTCTTTCAGCAGCATAACCATCTACAGATAAGAAGGGGGACAACTTCTCTTTAATAGGGCATGTACAATGGAAGTTGAAGATATTAATGATCAATTGATGCTTAAATACTTAAGATGTCAGTCGCTACCAATAACAAACCACTACATACAGGCCTAGAACAGTTAACTTAAAATTTAATATCCACTTGTAGTTATTGTCTTTAAAATTAACTAGGCAAATTTTTATACAATCCATTATAGCGATATTGTAACTGTTGTAAAAAAATAAATATTATATAAGAATATACATTTCAATCCCACAGAGATGCATGTAACTCAATGTGCAAACAACATTAACACAAATTATTTTACATAGAATCCATGTAACCAGGATACTAAACCCAACTAAAATGGGGCCAATTTACTTTTCATTTTCCCTATCCAGTTAATGAAGTTTGAAATGCTGTCTCAACATAACCTTCGTAAACATATTTTGCAGAATCAAGACTTTTCTACTACCCAAATTTGAAGTGATTAAGACTTCAAAATAAAGAGAAACACACCTGTTTGACGAGATATTTGACTGGTCTGATGCCTCCTCCAGTGCCCCAGATGTTGTCGAGACGAACAATGCCATGTTTCTTGCTCAACAGAAGCTCTGCTTTCTCCAGAGCAGAAACAGTCTGAGAACACTCCACGTTACCTTTGTAACTCCGCATATATTTAGGAGGAAGACAGTCATCAGCAACAGCCCTGGCAATAAACTGACCAATCACCTGTTGAAGCAAATCATGTTTGAAAACTTTGAAAACAATGACAAAGATACACCTTATCTATCTACATTTCTCACGTCCCGTTTTCCTTTTTGGCGTTGATATGAATTTTACTAGATAATTTATCAGTAAATGTTCGAAATACAAGTTAAGATTTCAATACTTCAGATTTGGTTTTAATTTTTGAGATTTTCACTTTTTGGATTATTTCAAATACAGTCAGAAGAGATAAGAATCTTTGATGAAATATTACCCTTTTTACAACTTCTGGCCAAAAGATATTTCCTCACAAGTTATTAAATGCTGAGGAGGTTTCTGAATATTTTTACTAGTCATATACTCTTTTAAAAATTGATTAATTCTTTATTCGTATGCAATATTCACAATTTGACTTTACAAGCATGAAATTAAAGAATAACGAGAAAATGTTGGTTGGTAAATTTACCGTAGGAGCATCAGGTGTGTCGATAGTTAGGTCACTCAGGCTGCTGAGAACATCATCAAAGCCACTGGCAATATCATCAGAAGTTAGCACTTTTCCATACAGGTCAGAAATAAGGATTGAACTCATTTCACGATGTGTACACTTGTGGTCCAGTGCCATGCTCAAAATCATTTCTATCACTTTAGGTTTTAAGCTGCGTAACTTCAGTTCAATCAAGGTTTCCTAAAAAATTGATAAGTCAAACATTTGATATTAAAGACATCAACATATTTTTATTTTTTATATAGAAAGATACACTTCATCTTAATGTCTCTTCAACAATGTAAATGGTTATTAACATATTATCAAACATAATTAATGGTTATTAACATATTATCAAACATAATTTACTATATTATATAATACCAAAGTTTTACTTTCTACACAAACGATGTATGTATCAAATGTGTCACAAAGTTTCAAGACTGACTGGTCCCTTTGCCAAGCAATGACTTCAAAATTGAACATTTTGTATTTGATGCAGTGGCCATGGGTATACACTCCCTATCGATAGATGAAACGTCCCTGGTTAAGTGACATAAAAAAAATATAAAATTTCGTCACATTGTTGTACAGGTAAAAAATACAAATCGCTCACTCAGTCATAGCTTGACAAAGGGACCAGAAGGTCTTGAAGCGTTGCGATACGTACATTGTGTAGAAAGCAAAACTTCGATATCACATATTTCCAAACCGATTGATATAATTTACTATAGAAATATACTCGCCTGTACTTCAAAAGTATCACCATGGTTGAAGTATTCAGAAATCACAGGCTGCAGAACCTTTTTAAGTTCCTCTAGAGACACTTCAAGGTCAATTTTTTCAACAACATATTCATCCTGAAATAAAGATACACATGCACAATTACTAATATTAAAACGAAACCTGGGGTGAACTTTTCAATATTAGAACACTACTAATAATTTAAGCCCACAAGCAGATTCTTGAACTTTCCAAACAAGTCCCACAAGCAGATTCTTTAAAATTCTTCGAGTCCAATGGTTGAACGTCCTCACAACAGACAGGGTTATATGATGACTGAATCTATACTTTGTACTAAATTGCGAAAGTTTTCACAAGCCCCAACTTCAAATTTACTAGTGCTACATACGCATCAGGCTAGTAGGATTGTATTATGTACCTTTTAATTTGCAACCTTTGAAACAGACAACAAATTACTTTTAAACCTTGCATGTATAATCACTATCCAAACACATAAAGATAGAACATTAATTACTCATGGTCTTATTTATTTACCTCACTTTCAGAATCATAATTGGGGTCATTGGAGTCTTTGCACCTCTCTTCCACTAAGATCTCATCTCCTGGTGCTCCCCATGTTCCTTTACCTCCAGCACCACCTGGAACAATGTAAAAATCGTATATTGGTAAATTTAAGTTATTTAAAAAACAAATTTATCAAACTTGAAAGAAAAGATGCTGAGAATTCTACAGAAAATAAACAACTCAAATAAATGATTTTGATAGACTCTGATCGATGAGCAAAAACTTGAGATTGTATTACATCAAACTTTTTTTTCCCTAAATCTAAAATATAATTATAGGGCTCTAAATTGTAGCAAATTCATAGGAAATTAGATGGGAAATAGTCAATAGTCTTTACATTTTATGTTGAAAAATAAGTTTAAAAAATATAAATAATCCATTCTGAATATATCTTAAATTATCAAAATAAGCCCATTGGAAGAATATGTATAAATAAATGAAGAGAATTTTTGTTTACTGTTGTATATCGTCAACAACAAACAATCTGTAGAGAGTTTTTATTTCGACACCACTGAGGGAGTTTATGTTTTTGTTGTGGAGGAAAAATCCACGGGAGAAAACCATCCTGCCATCAGAGGGTAACAACTATAACCATATCAGACAGCACTCTCTTTTTTGTCACCGCTGGGGATCGAACATAAGTTCTTGGTAGAGGGAGTGGTCGAAAACTCGCACTTGTGTTTTCGTCTTGCAGAGTTCTCTTCTCTTGTGAGCAGGTATTGATTGTTTCGCATTGGTTTGTGAGAGAAATGTCATAAATTTTTGAGAAAACAATGTAATTTTCTCACACAAACCAATGACGTTACACTCAATACCTTCTCACAAGAGAAGATAACTCCGCAATACGCAAAGACGGAATATACCTATTGGAATCTGAAGGGGGGGGGGGTTACAGGGGAGTGAAATCTGGGGTGAAAAAGACTTTTTTTTTTTAAAGAAATTGAGCATTTATATAAACAAAATCACATATAGGTTTAAATATATTATTTATTCCAATTTTATGTATTGATTGGCTCATACTGTTCACTGATTTTTTTTAGTTTTCCTTCTACATTGTGCCCTATACGTCAGTGTGTTACTTTCTGCACATGATTAGCCTCATCTGTCAATACAACAAAGTGTCAAGTGATAATATTATGGCCAAATATGGGTGTATAATAATTAATTAATAACAACAGACGATAAGATAAAATGAATTTTATTTAAAGTCGGTGGGCATTTTAAAACAAATAGCATAAGCTCTTGAGCTTTTGACCGACCTGTGCTTTCTGTCATATTTATATGCAAAAATTGGCAATATTGATATTGCATCACCTATAATCATATGTACTGACTGGCATCGGAAAACTCTGTACAGCGATGATGCAACGTATCTGTACGTCACAAGATCTTCCGACATGTACGATAGGGGTGAATCACTGACCTTGCACAAAGAAAGCACAAGTGCGAACTATCTGAGCTCATTCCACAAAAATACGCATGCATTAACCCTATGGTTGCAAATATTTTTTTTCGGTTGTATTTTTTTCAAGAAATAATGCACTGTGCAAAGCAAGCCATTTTAAATCATTACACTGAAATATATATTCAGAACACAACCAGTGTTGTTTGTAAACATGGCTGACGGAACACGTGGTGTGGAATGAGATAAACAAACAACAGCAAATCCCTCCGCGGACTTGGAATGTAAAATAGTCATTTTATTTAGCAAATTAGATATGACAGTATTCTAATACTTATTTAAGTTATAAATTTAATCCATGCATGCTTTATGAACATTGTGAATAGTTGCAATATGCTACAAACCTTTCTTGGGCAGGCCTCGACCGCGGCCGTCCCTAGATTTACGGCTATTTTTGTTTACAGCAAGTGCTTGTTTTGCTTGAGTTGCATTCTTAGTTTCGCCATTTAAAACCAGTGCGTCAGGTCCTGAGTTCTGCCGATGGAATCTTTTAGCTTTCCTGATAATTCTTCCACCAGGAGATTGACTGTCAGTACCATTTAAGACCTCGGTAAACTCATTCCCGTTCACTTCTTCTGGTATTTCACTATCGCCATTTTGGAAAATTTCAACATTAGACACTTCGACTTCGGTGGTCATGACAGGCGTTTAAGGGACACAATTTACAAATACTAACTTACTCGGTTAATTAAGTGCAGAGTTTCCTACCCTGCACACAATGCACAAGCTACCTAATAGGCAAACTGTGCAACTGAAAAATATTTTTCTAAGCGACCAGCTGTGCAGCGCGAAATATCCTTTCCTTTAGTATGAAGTTATGACACGTGATCAAAACGGATCACTTTCATTGGTTTAGAAGAACACGTGGTAAACAATCCGTTCGCGATCTAATTTTATCGGATTGTTTACATCAATGGCAATGTGAAGGTTAAACAAACAAAGCAACGGTTATAAACAGTCGACATTGCCAAAAACCGCAAGTCAACATACTTTATATGTTTTATTGACAGACCGCGGTCGTCACCAACGGGGGCAGGACAAGGGTACTCTTACTATGACATCATTTTAGACCTGCTCAAGTCCGTCATTTTATTCGCTATGTTACGTGTACACTAACTGTTAGGGCACTGATCGACATAGAACTTTGTATTGCGAACATTTTTTTATTTTTCCAAAGTTTATAAAAATGCAAATTTATCATACATAAACATTATTACTCTCACACATTACCATCCATTCATTAAATATTCATTTAAGCAATAAACTGCATATATGGCAATGGTAGGCTCCTATAGTAGTTACCTCTCTATTATTTCCAGGTGTTATACACGTCTCTGGTATAATAAATAATTAGTTATGTTTATGTCAAATTAAATTACAGCTAAATTATGTCCGTTATATATAATCATTCATTGTTAAGAAGTGACAGAATAGAGGTTAGAGCAGGTCCTAGAGGTATAGAAGGGAAAGTAAGAATAAAGAGAGAGAGAGAGAGAGAAAATAAACAATGAGGGATGAGGGGGGATAGAGAAACAGAAGCTAATATAGATGTGTCAGAAAGTTCAAGAAGTTTTACATATATGTATTTAGAAGTACACGTTTATATAAGAAAATTATATAGTTATATGTTCATATATTTTGGCAAAGCCTCGTGTTTGGCAACATAAGAATCTTCCCCCTCGGGTTGAGATTCCCCTATCTCACCTCAAAGGGGGTGAATGATTCTATTAATCTACCCTACTACTGATACTATTTTTTATTTAATAAACTGAAAATGAAGGTTTCCTTGTTAAAACCAAATGGGATTAACAATACATCAAGAAGGAACTCCAAATTTTGTAGAAAGTCTTTTACTTTCTCACATTCCCATAGTGTGTGAATTATTGTCTCTATTTCAGTCTTACATTGAAAACAAAGAGCACTATCGGTAAGAGCTGCTTTAAATAGATAAGAGTTTGTTGTTAAAATGTATTGATTTATTCTGTATTGAAGATTGTAATGTAATTGTAATGTAATTGATTGTAATTTTGAATTTTCTAGTTACTGTTAAAGGAATCGTATATATCAATTTCCATTTGTTATCTTTTCTTAAAATAGTAACATGTGTAGGATAATAAACCGAAATGGCCCTGTTTACTATTCACCCGTTTCAACACCCGCGAATCCAAGATAGACTGTGTTATAAAAAACACATTTTTGCAACAAATGCTGACACGTTTTCCTGATCGTATATGAAAATAGGCATTTGGTCTCGAACGGAAATCATTCAAAACCAATGCATTCAAAAACAATATTTATTTCATTCTTTGAACTTCAAACTTTTGAACACTTTTCATGGGTTTATATTTTAGAATAGTATTTTTGCATCGACTAATGCATATCTACAGTACAAAACAATCGTTCTTCAGCAACACTCTAATACCTCGCCTGTATCTCTGTCTGGATGTTTTTTGATGTATGGAATTTAATTAAAAAGTGAGGGAGTACAAGTCACACTGGTGTGGTGCGAGAAGAAAAACAAGTATTCATGAATATATGTAATATAAATATATTTATATTTATTGATTAAATGCTGCTCCATCAGGTATCTGTCGGGCAGGCACAGGCTAAGGTATTTGTGTGTTTTGTTTATTATTGAAGATAAAGGGAGCTGTTCCCTGTTCATAGTATAGAACAGACTTAAACAGCATTGCAGCGTTAACTTATACTGCAAAAGGTTTGTCCGCTAGCGTTAATGTCACGTTTTCAATCGTTACTCCCATTAAAAACTTAAACAGATACGTTACCATTTCAACAGATACGTAACACATTATATTGGTCAAGTGTTATACGCTCATGATACTTAACATTATCACCAAAACAAACTTTAAATCGATGTAATGATCACTTGTGATAAAATATATGCATTTATCTCAAATGTTCACATAACCAAGACTATTTTATTTAGGAAAATAATGCACCAAAACAGAAACGTGACCAAAGGGAACATAAACGTTATGTATATTTTCCAAGTGATGTGATCCCTTTTCCTCACATATCAAACCCTTTTCTTTCATAGCTTGATGGTTGAGTGTTCGCTCGGGTGAGGAAGGCAATGGGTTCCCAGGCTGGGAATACCAAAGTCCTTAAAATGGTAGTTGATATTCCCTGCTTAACGTTCAGCATTTAAGGGAATGGCAACAACTGGTTAACCCGTTGTCAGTATAATGTGACCGGAGGACATGTTGTGCTGGGTGCCTTCGGCATGGTATTTCAGTGATATAGCACTATAAAGTCGGCATCAGATCCGTACTATCACAAGGAGGCAAGCACACCAACACACCCTGTCTCCTGCATACACTACACACATGGAGGCACGTCCTTAAATGACCTTAGCTGTTAATAGGACGTGAAACAAAATTAAACCAAACCAAACCAAACCGGTTATTGGCGTATGATAAGTGAGAATGGACGATATATACACGCTAAAACTAAGTTAGCATTTCCTTACAACTTTACTCAACTAGACAAATTGTCAATACAATGTTTTACAACTTTGATGATCTGGGGGTATGCGCCTCCTTCTCTTCAATGTTTTATCTGAATATTTGTATAGTTGGTAGTTAGTGGCCCTCGGAGCTCCAACTATAACTCTCACATTGTTCATTTGACATATTATACATGTCCTTACTTTATTTTAAAAATGTTAAACAAACCATCAAATCTGATAGACATACCTGGGGTTAGTTGAGCCACCGACCATGGGGCTAGTTGAGCCACCAACAACGTTAACGAGGCAATGAGCCATGGCGTCAAAAATAAAAACGTTGCTGAAAAAAATACGTTTTGATCCGTCTCTGCTAGTAGTCGTAAAGAGAAAAAATTTCATTTTGGTTTGTTTTGCAAGTGATCACCTAGGTCAATATCACTTTTCAGGATTATCGTTACATTTCTACCATCACAAATGTCCATTATTTAAAAATATACCACATTTATCGACAGTTTGGTCAAATGTTAATAAGTCAACGGATCATTAGAACTTCCACAGTTCCATCATCACAAAATGCTGAAAAAAAGATGGCCTTAAAATCTCGACTGACTAATCTTGTCATTTTCTTCTAAGTCATACAAAATGTGTTTCGCTACGATATTAAGCCGACAAATGCCACCGAGTGACATCTGATCAGATTATACGTGTCCTCTGTACTCCGAACCAGCATTCCGCGACAACATATTTTACTATTGCCGGCCTTGCATGTTATATATACACGAGATCCTTCCTAAGTTCGAATTGAATGTGTTCAATTCCAATGTTGTCGCTCATTTTATTGCCAGCAAAAATCAATATATCATGTTTAGGTGTACACGAATTACAGGATGGACAAGACAGTATGCTGGCGCGAAAGGTTCTTGGCCTGCAAGTCTCTGGAACTAGTAAGTGTTCATGATAACTACATCCAAAAAACCAATACCCGGTACCCCATTGTCACATCGCCGGTACAGTTCAGAATCAACTTTATTCATAAAATGGAGCAGGTGATGGAAGCACTTTCCACAAAGGACAGAATCCTTTCCAGAAATATATCCTTAAAGAATAAATATAAGACAATTCCAAACATTGGTGACCATGATATAGTTCTGATCGACTCCAAAACACATAGCTACACATCAAACCATCATGGGGTAACTTATATGACTCAAAACACAGAGAAATAATGGGCCATATATGCTACACTAATGCTAATGTCTAGATTTTACGTTCTACACCCTAAACGAGTACAGAGAATACAGGACTTTTGAGTTGAAGGGGCCTTACAAGAAAACGAAGGTATTGAAAATAGAGAGATACGTATACAAGGCAGAACCCCAACAATACCAAGGCCCACTGATCAACACGTGATGAACACCATCAGGTCTGAGGGAAAGCAAAACCCTAAAGGATTTCGGGGGTTTACCACTGAAGAGCCGGCGACACGAGTCGACTGGTTGTAAATCTGATGGCCAGTTATATAGTAATAATAAATAAAAGTTGAGATTTTCAGCTCTAGTGCCGGTCTTCTTTTATAAGAAGAACTCAACCGAACTAGTAGCACCTACAAGGTATTATTTCACCATCAATGCCAGATAAAACAATAACTAGGGATTAAATAAGGACGTATCTATTAAAAACTTAGAATATCGGTCCAGAACTACACCGATTTTAAGGTCTTGGTCATGTCATTTCATTGTTTCTGTGAAAAGTCGAGCTCAGTCGTTATTGTCTACTGAAACATTAAATGGGCATCCCTCCCCAAAAACCACAAGGCAAACATCGACACCCATACCGTCCATTTAAAACGGATATTTCTTTCCCAATGATACCATGATGGCAAACATACTCATAGTCTTTTTTTTTACCGTACAGTATCTCTCAATACATGTGCTGTAAGTTTGTCTATCATCAGTTGACAAATATTACGGGTATCGTGAATATTCAGTTGAAGCCTTGAATTCCAAATTAACTTCGACAAGAAACCGGAGGTAGGGAAGTGGGGATGCTAATTATTATCAAAAAATAATGCATAATAAAGGAATAAACTGCTTGTTAACACCGTCTGAAAAGGTTTTTAAACTTAAGTTTTGTTCACTGTCTTAGATCATTGGTTGATGTATCATGCAATGTGACGCATGTAGTACAAGAAACGGTAACATGTTGGAGCACAACAACCCTAGTAGGAGTAGCCTCCCCTTATACATGCTTTTTGTCAAGGTTTTTTTTTTTTACGGAAATTCTCTGGTTGCATAGGCCTATTTTGTGTCAGTTACATTTGATGCTCAAGTAAGGCATTAAATAGTTCGGAAACCCAGGGATCGAAAGCAATAGAACATTCTGTAAGAGCTGTACGTTTTCCATTTCGAAATGTTACTCTACGACTTACCAAAGTTTTTAATATGTAAATATACTTCAAAATAAAATGAAAAAGTACATGTGCGTCGAATGTGTTGTTAATGACACGGGCACAGAAACCACTCTAAGCATGCTACTGTGATAAAAGACTTGACATGAACACTGGAATCAAAGCAAATGTCTGCCCTAATAATCGTCAAGTTTACACACCAGTTAGAAATGTACTATACACATTAGGGTAATACTGTGTGGTATATCACTCCCATCATGTCAGCATACCACTAGTGTCTGATAGAGGTGACACCGCAGGTAAGTTACGTATATATACACTTAGTGGAAAGACATCATAGTGTGTATTATTAATTTGTGTGTATTTCTTTTTTGTCTCCATCGTTTACTAGATTTTATGTGTTGTCGTTTGAAAAATATAACCAACGGTTTCATTTTTTTTATTACTCTAATAGACTGAATTTGTGTTATATTTTTAACAATACAGTTATTAAGGGAAATGCATTATAGAAGGTTTCTTTTATTGTCAATACCAAGATTTTAGATACATGTATCAATTGGACCAATACGAGCTTTAAAGTCCTTTCCCGGCCATCCGGACCAAGGTAAATCAAGGTAAATCATGTATAACAAATATATAATAATAAGAAGAAGAAGAAGAAGAAGAAGGAGAAGGAGAGACGGTGTGTACCTTTGTGTAAAAGTGTGATTGGACGATCCTCACTGTGAAAATAAAATAAAAAAATATATGAAATGTGTTTATATGATTTTAAAGTTTTTAATATGATGATTTTTATGTTTTACTTAATATTTGCGCTGTTGTTCAGTTTAAGCTGATGTTGTTAGCCTTCCTATCTATTTTGACTTCTTATTTTATCGTTGCCGTTAATTCAGTGGCATATAAAATCATTTTTACATTTAGGAAAACGTCAATACAGAGGCCATTTATTGATAGGGAGAACACCAATGTCTTCACCAATACATGTGGAAAATACTCCATTATCAGTAGTACTGATCATACCTATCTTGACTAGGATGTATGAGTGGTGATCTGCGTGATTTTCTGGTCATACCTAAATAATCGTCCAATACATAAGGGTATAGCTCTGTGCTTGAGAAAGACGATTGTCTCATTTACAGCGACACTAAAACTGTTAAAGGTTTGGTTTGTTTTGTTTTGATTATCGGCCACTTAACATCAGAGGACATGTTAAGGTCGTGCGTGTTGTGCATTCGTGCTAGTACTAATATTAATACCTGCCTTCCTCTGCCCCGGCCAGTATATATAAGAAAAAATCGTTCGTCGTCAGAAAGCTACGTTATCGCAGCTATATTCGTGCATGTGTGCAATTTTTGCTGGATGCAGATTTTGTTGTGTAATTGCCTCAATGCGATAGCGTGGATCTGATGCCGACGTTTTAGTGCTATCTCACTGAAATACCATGCCGAAGGCACCCAGCACAGCATTCCATCTGGACACATTATACTGACAACGGGTGAACCAGTTGTTGTCATTACCCTAAACGCTGAATGTTGAACAGGGAATTACAACTACCATTTTCTAGGACTTTGGTATGTCCCAGCCTGGGAACAGAACCCATTGCCTTCCTCATCTGGGATGTCGCCAGGCAAGGCGCTAGGCAATAAAAGGTAGATAGAAATGGAAAGAGATGTAAAAACCAAAATATTACAATGGGTGCAGCAGAATTATTGTGGTCGGTTTTGTGTCCCCAAGTAGAGGACAAAAAAGCAAATCCCCAATTCTGCAGCGGTTACCACGTTAGTCGCCTCTATGACAAAAGATATATTATCAATAATCAATATAACATAAGTAAATCGTTTAATTTGTTTTTGTTTTTAAGAAATATTATTCCAATAAACAAAACATGCGCGTCTGCTCATGATATATATCTTTAACATATCACTTCGTACTAATGACGTATGTCTCACTTGTAATTTAACGTTGCTAATTACTACAAATTCTAACAGATATGCCAATAAGCATAAAACAGGCTTTTAATAGTGGTGGGAATTAGTTTAAATTTTGTAATTGGTAGTTTGATAACATTCTGACAACAAGTTATCATAAAATCGAGCACATCTTTCCTATGACAATATATCGGGATACGTATTGCAATATATTCATTCTGTATTGCGATATATCGTGATACACTCTTAGCGTATTGTGACACCCCTAGTGTGTGTTTCAAGATTCAAGAAGCTTTATTTAACGTCGCATATGCATGTAACATAATAGAATTAGCACTGTAGTGCTATTCATATGTATGTATGCTATGTATGTATGTATGTATGTATGTATGTATGTATGTATGTATGTATGTATGTATGTATGTATGTATGTATGTATGTATGTATGTATGTATGTATGTATGTATGTATGTATGTATGTATGTATGTATGTATGTATGTATGTATGTATGTATGTATGTATGTATGTATGTATGTATGTATGTATGTATGTATGTATGTATGTATGTATGTATGTATGTATGTATGTATGTATGTATGTATGTATGTATGTATGTATGTATGTATGTATGTATGTATGTATGTATGTATGTATGTATGTATGTATGTATGTATGTATGTATGTATGTATGTATGTATGTATGTATGTATGTATGTATGTATGTATGTATGTATGTATGTATGTATGTATGTATGTATGTATGTATGTATGTATGTATGTATGTATGTATGTATGTATGTATGTATGTATGTATGTATGTATGTATGTATGTATGTATGTATGTATGTATGTATGTATGTATGTATGTATGTATGTATGTATGTATGTATGTATGTATGTATGTATGTATGTATGTATGTATGTATGTATGTATGTATGTATGTATGTATGTATGTATGTATGTATGTATGTATGTATGTATGTATGTATGTATGTATGTATGTATGTATGTATGTATGTATGTATGTATGTATGTATGTATGTATGTATGTATGTATGTATGTATGTATGTATGTATGTATGTATGTATGTATGTATGTATGTATGTATGTATGTATGTATGTATGTATGTATGTATGTATGTATGTATGTATGTATGTATGTATGTATGTATGTACGTTTGTATGTTTGTATGTATGCTATGTATGTATGTATGTATGTATGCTATGTATATGTGTGTGTGTTTCTGCCTGAACAAAATATGTCTCACTTGTATTGATGGATGCATTAATAATTGGTGTTCTGTCTCACTTGTATTGATGGATACATTAATAATTGGTGTTCTGTCTCACTTGTAATGTAAAGCTATAATTAAATATTCTCTAATTAGTAATCAACAGGTATATGCAATTCGATATACCCCTCCCCATTTCATCATAGGTAGAATGCCAATATACGTTTTGAAATTGACTAATGTAAATGTTCAAGTACATTATGTCAGACATAGTATATATATCACGATGATGTTTAGAGAATGTAAATGACCATGTTACAAATGTTTTTTTTTATAAAGAATATAAGATGATAACGTAAAATGTTAATAAGGTATCCAATACACAGACAGAAATCTTACATCCTAGACAGACGCGCATGTTTTGTGCATTGGGATACAATTTCTTAGAAGTAAAACAAATAAAACGATTAACTTAACGTCATTCTAAAAAAGCAAAACTAAGCAAAAAACAAAACCAAAAACACGACAAAATGTCATGAGAAACTTAAACGATTGGTTTTGTCTCAGGTAATTGTTAACGTGCTGACGCATATACATCTGTATATGAAATATGTTAATTATTAAAATCGTCTTTTAATTACACCAACAGGCTACAGACGAAACAGACCGACAGAATTAATTGTCCGGGGCACAATACGTCAAACAATATAATTGCGTGAACGTAGGGCTCATCCTCAATTTGATAGTATAAACATAAGGTAACTACTACACAGATAGTTCATCACAGGTAAACAGGTAAGACATTGAGCATAAGGTGACATCACCTGGCGGTACGTGACTTGATTAAAAACGCGCTTAGGTATAAGGTACAGTGATTTTAAAATGTTCAATGCGTATCCGTAAGACAAATTGGTGTCTCAATCGGTTCATTTTCATCCAAAGCAGAAGTAGCATTTAACACTGCCATGGAGGGAAGCGTTATAAACGAGGGATTTGAGATGTCGGAACAAAAGGAAAATATTAAGGTGATTATAATGTATCTTACGGGTTCCGTTTCCTTATTATTATCAATTTAGCAATTTTAGTCTTCTCTCCCTGGTGCTCTTAGAAGACTTATGAAAAATTAGGTCTAATTATATTCGCCCCATTTCAAGAAATGGGTACCAGTCGAAAGTGTTTCTGACACCGATTGTATTTTTAAAGAACATGGGGGGAAAGCTGCAGGAATTTTACTTAATGTCGGAAATATTTCAGCTCGACTAGTACACTTTTCAAAATCTATGGATGAATGCCTGTGACCTTTCTGATTATATTAAAACAGTTGTTCCATACATAATCTTCACTGTGGCGTTCCTGGTGTTTTAAACAGCTAGGTATGATCTACATGAGCATCATCTTTAGAGAATTTTAATGTTCCAAATTTTTCAGAAATTTTTATACATTAATTTTTGCTCTGTGTTGTGGCATAGCATTCATTATACTGTTTTAAGGAGAAGTATTCTGTTAATCGTTTTATACATCAAGTGATTTTCTATTGCATCATAACATTTGTTTGTTTAATATGATGTACATATGTAATAGTAATGGGTATTATTGTAAATTTAACTTATGAATATATAATATAATACAAATATATGATAATAATTCATTTTTAGCACAAGTGTTTAAGCAATTGACAGTATTTTCATTAAGCTTATATAATTGTCAGTATATACAAATTGTCATTGTTTACATTCTTTTCGTTTAATTAATGTTCTGTTGCCTAGATAATCTGTTTCTGTATTGGTCATATTTCTATCAAACAGAAAACGTCAATTAAGAATAGATAAAAAGGATTTCATGTAATTAATACTTTGCTACATTTGTTTTCTTATTTTCTTGCAATAGAAGAATTTATCATGTTTTTAGAGGATACTTCTAAAATTGTTATTACATTTATTTAGTTATTTTGTTTGAGTTTTTTAGAACATATTTGCTGTTTTAATGCAAGTTCCGGTTCTTCATCATCTCAAGTGATTTTGATTGTTGTGATATAAATATTAAATAATTTTTTAACCTCCAACTCTATAACTTTTGATTAATCAATCCACACTTAATCTGACTTACCATAGCCATTCACATGGATTTTTGATTTTATTTTTGCTTGGTCTTTTTGATTGTGTATAATAATGAAAAAATGGTTAATTGAGATCTAAGTTAAGCTAAGTATTCATAAATGTTGCTTTTCAAATTGGAGTTTAAATGTCTTTACTTTATGAATTGGTCAAAGGTTTAAATTTCAATTATTTTTTATAGATAAAAAATAATCTGAGTTATCTATGTTAAGCAACATGCCTAATCAAGCAAATCTAGTACTGACCTAATAAGAGGATGTATACACTATAATACATATTACCTAGGTCTTGTAGATACTATGTTTAAGCCCTGGTATTCAAGCATTCAAACTAAAAACCAATAACGTTGAATCTGAATAATATAAAACAATGGAAACCATCTATAAATTCAGAGTAAGGAAACTCAGCAAATCGACACAGAAAGCCAAACAAAGCACCGTATTTCCGTTTCTTTTATTTATTACACATACGTGGTTATCAATGTCTAAAGCGTTCCGATATAAAATGTAAACCGGGAAACTGTCACCCAGTCAAAGGACTAGGGGCCTTATGGGTTATTTTTGACCTCATAAAAAGTAAAATTTCAACTGGAATTTATTTACCAATTTCTGTTATAAACATCACATTGGTTTATAAAGGCTTTCTTTCTTGATGCAGATATTTTCCAATGCGCATGCGAACATACCCTACCAAAGCAACAAAATTGCGTGCTATGCAGAAATAGCCAATCTATGGTGTTTTGGACAGTTATCCTGTAGAAATGAAAGCATTCGCATGTGACAAACAAAAAATTCTTTCTATGAATGAACACTGGTATGACAATGTTTAAGCATATCAAATATCTATTTGTTTTGCGCATGCGGAGGCTGTCAAAAATTGAAGTGTTTTGTTAATTTCTTCAAAATGGCAAATTTTCAACCAAATAGCACATAACAGACGATATTCACGCATTTTATTATGAAAATGCTTGTTTATGTCTCTCTTTATAATGCCATATCTCCTAAACGATTTGTCGAATGAATTTGAAATTTCATATTTGCGTACTTTATTGATTCCAGATTGCGAATATAACAACTAATTCTAAAACCTCGATGAGACCGGATATGGCCCTGAACGCCCTAAGTCTTTTTCTTCCTTCACTGTAAGAATCCATTTTTGCCCGGCGTTAATGTTATTACTATGTAGGGTATGATGTGTACCTGTTTTCAACGTCGTTGTAAATTTGCCCTTATTATGAAGGACGAAAAAGGCAAAGTTGAACTGTGGTGAAAATTTCCCGGATTACAGTATGTTGAGAATAGCAACAGGGGGAAACGTGCCTTTAAAACCCTTTATAACGTAACATAATATCCACTGTATACTGTGGTAATAATTAATGGTGTACATTTACTAAATGTACCATTCAGTACGTACAACTGAAGACCGAGCTATCAAAAGTAAACACGATTATATTACGTTTGGAATCCGGTACTAACATCCTCGGCATGTCACAAACATCATAATTGAATGTTACGAACACCACATATCTTGACACATAATTAATAATTTCTTTCCAATAGGAATGTCGTTCTGCATAGGTGATCTTGTGGCAGCTACAGATCAAGTTATAGCCGTAAACGATATCTGTATGATATAACCTAGAACGCTTTTGATGTGAACCTGGAAATGTAAACAACACACCATGTCAGTCACTCATCACTTGATAAGTACGTACGAAATGGTACAGTAATCACATCTATGCATATATTTTTTTTATAAAAAATGATCCAATTTTTGTCGAAATTTGAGAATATTTACAGATTACCATGCTATGTTTCGTGTGTATAGTTTTTTCATCCTAAGAACGTGGATAAGAGACAATATCGGAAGTTTTTTTTTACTTATGTCTAGCCAATTTATGGCATTTATGGTACATCGTAATCTTATTGCATCATATTAAGATTAAATGGTAGTAATGTTATTTGTTTTTATTTTTAACTCGTATTACTTTTTTGGCCTAGGTATCTTAAACACATCGAACCTCAGGCTAAATTACTTGAGCCGAGGCAAATATGCCTTATATTGCAGATACAAATCAATTCCTTCATCAACAATTTAGTATTGATGACACAAAGGACATATAATTAGTACACGTGACAAAACAGCCATGACCATTTATGGTAATAGATGCGTTATCAAGTATCGTTTGTAATGCATATAGGACATGTGTTGTCAGGTTAACAATTAATGATTGTATATACAATGTCTAAACGATTTGAATGTTCATTTACATGCGAATTTTTATTTCATTTCCATGGAAATCAGCATGGAATAATTTCTCATGGAGAGGCGTTATACAAGTGCACAGTTTTAAGTTATCCAACAGTATCAGCAATGAAAACTAGAATCGTTTTCCGTTCATTTCAGTACCTCGATGTCCCTGCTACTAATGGAACTTCACCTAGTGTAGAAAAGCGACAGGGTTTTAAGGGATCCACTGAGAAAAGTGATGACGGTCAGCGCGTGCTTCCCGCCATTTCTACAACCATTCAAAAAGAGGAAGCAGAAACTGAACAGACGACGACAGATCTGATCTATAAGATCAGTTCCTATGTTCCTCCACATCTCACTCTTATGTTTGCCTTCCAGGTATGATATTTCCGTGAGATCTATTTATAGCATGGTTAAGGAAATAACGTTGTATTCAATTGTATGTTGTTACAGTGTAAATATATAAACTACCAACAGTCGCTTTAATTGGAAATCTATCGTCAATAAATAATTTGAAGACGACATGCTGCGTCTTTCATCAGGAAAAAGAGAGATAGCGTTATGCAGCTGCATGTTTTTAGCGATGTTATGTAAAGTGTCGTTTTCAGTGCCAAAATAACACTACTTTACTTGGAAGTGAAAACAAACATGTAGGTTTACAGCAGAATGTTATCAAATTATTCAAAGGAGAAAAAGAAAAAAAATACGGATGAAAACAGAGTGTTTGTTGGAAGTGCAGGTCTACAATTTATGTCTAAAATATCACGATTTTTTGTAATCATAGCTAGGATGTTTCCAATACATTTGCGATGACAGTTGTTGATTTATTTCATTTATAATCAATTCACCGTTACTTGCTTTATTTGATCTCCAGCAAGCCCTGTTGTCTATATCGGGCTCCCTGGCTGTGTCCCTACTAGTGGCCGAGGTGGTATGTGCTGAGGACAACGATGAATTTAAAGCCAAACTTCTCAGTTCCACATTGTTTATGAATGGTCTTACCACCTTCTTGATGGTCACACTTGGTATACGGTCAGTCAGCAATGCTTGTTCGCTCCAACAGTTTATGATATTACTGCTAACCCTTTAAACATTTATTTTTTTAGAAATCCTATAATTTAAAATGATATGTATTGTTTGAAAATAAACTTAGGATTACATGCTGTTACTCATATTCACTCTGACGATTTATAATGTGTGCATTATATTGTTATATATTTATTATTGTTTTAGTTTGTACTTTATTTAAATCATGATTTCTTAATTGAGTATTTTAATGTAAATAAAAAAACTATACAGAAAAGGTAATGCATGGAAAGCAAAGTATGTGTAAGATACTGTTAAGGCCAACAGTGCTAACCTTACCACTCACTAGAAAACATGATTACTTTACACAAAACTATATAGGAGTTAGTAAATCAATTTATCCGAACGGAAGTTCAAGACCTGTTTTGCACGTTTAACAATTCTTCTCTTTATACACGTTTCTGAAATAATAATATAATAAAGAGGTCAGTACAGGCCCCTGTCTTATTTGTCTTCCATCTGTTTAGAAATCTATTTGACTTGTAACTCACACCTTTTTTGAGCTGCCTTGTTGTGGTCTTTAGCATGGTCGATATTAACTTATCAAAACATGAATCTGAACTAAATGCGTTTATTTGTGCCTAACTGTAACACAATGCGATCTATGTTTGTCGAGGAAATCAGCTATATATTGTTTATAAAAATTATTTGCCAGTATTCAGGATCAGGCAACCGGTTTTGTATGTTTTCTGTTTTGTCATTATAACAGATTACCGTTGTATCAGGGCGCTACCACTGATTACGTGGCACCACTACTCGCTATGTCACAGCTAGACACAGGCAGATGTAACGGTACCCGGCCAATCACTGGTAAGGTGAGACATATATTATATCACTGGTAAGGTAAGACATCTATACCATATCACTGGTAAGGTGAGACATATATTCTATATCACTGGTAAGGGTAGACATCTATACCATATCACTGGTAAGGTTAGACATCTATACTATATCACTGGTAAGGTAAGATATCTATACTATATCACTGGTAAGGTGAGACATATATTATATCACTGGTAAGGTAAGACATATATACTATATAACCGGTGATGATAGACATCTGTTATATATCACTGGTAAGGTGAGACATATATTATATCACTGGTAAGGTAAGACATCTATACCATATCACTGGTAAGGTAAGACATCTATACTATATCACTGGTAAGGTTAGACATCTATTATATATCACTGGAAAGGTTAGACATCTATACCATATCACTGGTAAGGTGATACATATATTATATCACTGGTAAGTTAAGACATCTATACCCTATCACTGGTAAGGTTAGGCATCTATTGTATATCACTGGTAAAGTTAGACATCTTTTATATATCACTGGTAAGGTAAGGCATCTATACTTTAATACTGGCAAGGTTAGACATCTATACTATATCAATGGTAAGGTGAGACATCTATACCATATCACTGGTAAGGTTAGACATCTATTATATATCACTGGTAAGGTTAGACATCTATTATATATCACTGGTAAGGTTAGACATCTATACCATATCACTGGTAAGGTGAGACATATATTATATCACTAATAAGGTAAGGTTCTATACTATATCACTGGTAAGATTAGACATCTTTTGTATATCACAGGTAAGGTTTAACATCTATACTATATCACTGGTAAGGTTAGACATCTATTGTTTATCACTGGTAAGGTTAGACATCTATTATATATCACTGGTAAGGTTAAACATCTATACTATAATCCTGGTAAGGTAAGACATCTATACTATAATACTGGTAAGGTTTAACATCTATACTATATCGCTGGTAAGGTTAGACATCTATTGTTTATAACTGGTAAGGTTAGACATCTATTATATATCCCTGGTAAGGTTAGACATCTATACTATATCAATGGTAAGGTTAGACATCTATTATATATCACTGGTAAGGTTAAACATCTATACTATAATACTGGTAAGGTTAAACATCTATACTATAATACTGGTAAGGTAAGACATCTATACTATATCACTGGTAAGGTAAGACATCTATTATATATCACTGGTAAGGTTAAACATCTATACTATAATACTGGTAAGGTTAGACATCTATACTATATCACTGGTAAGGTGAGACATCTATTATATATCACTGGTAAGGTTAAACATCTATACTATATCACTCGTAAGGTGAGACATCTATACTATAATACTGGTACGGTTAGACATCTATACCATATCACTGGTAAGGTAAGACATCTATACTATAATACTGGTACGGTTAGACATCTATACCATATCACTGGTAAGGTGAGACATATATTATATCACTGGTAAGGTAAGACATCTCTACTATAATACTGGAAAGGTTAGACATCTATACTATATCACTGGTAAGGGAAGACATCTATTATATATCACTGGTAAGGCAGGATATCTATACTTTATCACTGGTAAGGTTAGACATCTATACCATATCACTGGTAAGGTTAGACATCTATACCATATCACTGGTAAGGTTAAACATCTATACTATATCACTGGTAAGGTTAGACATCTATACTATAATACTGGTAAGGTAAGACATCTATTATATATCACTGGTAAGGTTAGACATCTATTATATATCACTGGTAAGGTTAGACATCTTTACTATATCACTGGTAAGGTTAGACATCTATACCATATCACTGGTAAGGTAAGACATCTATACCATATCACTGGTAAGGTTAGACATCTATTGTATATCACTGGTAAGGTAAGACATCTATACCATATCACTGGTAAGGTAAGACATCTATACCATATCACTGGTAAGGTTAGACATCTATACCATATCACTGGTAAGGTTAGACATCTATTGTATATCACTGGTAAGGTAAGACATCTATACCATATCACTGGTAAGGTAAGACATCTATACCATATCACTGGTAAGGTTAGACATCTATACCATATCACTGGTAAGGTTAGACCTCTATTGTATATCACTGGTAAGGTAAGACATCTACACCATATCACTGGTAAGGTAAGACATCTATACTATAATACTGGTAAGATTAGACATCTATACCGTAAGGTGAGACATATATTATATCACTGGTAAGGTAAGACATCTATACCATATCACTGGTAAGGTTAGACATCCATTGTATATCACTGGTAAGGTAAGACATCTATACCATATCACTGGTAAAGTAAGACATCTATACTATATCACTGGTGAGATAAGACATCTATTATATATCACTGGTAAGGCAGGACATCTATACTATGTCACTGGTAAAGTAAGACATCTATACTATATCACTGGTGAGATAAGACATCTATTATATATCACTGGTGATGTATGACATCTATACTATATCACTGGTAAGGTTAGACATCTATTCTATATCACTGATAAGGTTAGACATCTATTCTATATCACTGGTCACTGGTAAGGGTAGAAATCTATTCTGTATCACTGATATGGGAAGGCATCTATTTTAAATAACTGGCATGGGTAGACATCTATTTTATATCACTGGTAAGGGTATACATCCATTATATATCGCTTGAAGGGTAGACGTCTATTCTGTATCACTGATATGGGAAGACATCTTTTCCTTATCACTGGTAAGGGTCAACATCTGTTCTGTATCACTGGTAGTGGTAGACATCTATTGTATATCACTGGTAAGGGTAGACATCTATTGTATATCACTGGTAAGGGTAGACATCTATTGTATATCACTGGTAAGGGTAGACATCTATTCTATATCACTGGTAAGAGAAGACATCTATTTGATATCACTGGTAAGATAAGACATCTATTCTATATCACTGGTAAGATAAGACATCTATTTGATATCACTGGTAAGGTAAAACAGCTATCATTATGCCATTGGTAATCTTGATATATTGATTCACATTGATATAATTGATAAGGTTAGCATATTATATTATTGGTAAGACTAAGCATAATGACTATGCAATGTCTTAGATATCAGGATTTCTGGATAGATGTGTGTTGTTCACTATTAAACTGTATAGTCAGGGTTTTCCACAGGAAAAACCTCAATCTACGCTTAGTTATTCTCAAACTAAGATAATGTTTTGTCTACTGTGTTTAAATGCTTATTGATTTCGTCTTAAGCCTTTGATTGAATGGGAAGCATCATGACTGACACAGCATGTTGTGCAGTAAACACTTCCTGAAAAACAGGTTTCACCTCATTTTCATGAGCTTCTATGTTTAGTCTTGCGCTTTGATCTTTTGTCTTCTTCATTCTTATGGTTTACTTTGTCGTTGTGTGTTGACAATGTTTTATATTATGTCCTTTTGTATTTACGCTGTGATATATTTTTCCTTTTGTGTTGAATCTGGTTTTTTTTTAATTGTAACTTTTGAATATAGTTTTTATTTTACCAGTAACTGATTATCAAATGCTGATACAGTACATAACACTATAATTATATCATATAATGACGCTCTGATAAAATTTCTGCCTGAATTGTAGTTAATTTTGGAATACACTTCTATGTTTGTAATCTGATACAATTCATTTTGTAAGATATAATCTTTATACATACGTATTTGCATTAAAAATTCTTTGTCATATTTTCACATGAACATAACCTATATATTAACACTTATGTATACCGATGCTGCATTCGTATTCGCATTCCAGTATATTACACTGTTGTGAAACACATTATTATTGTTTGTAGTTTTCAACAACATTACAAACACAACGGAGACAAAATTCCCAGAGGGTTCCGACGAAATTATACTTCACTCAATACAAGCAGTAAGTTTATCGTACTTCACTCAATACAAGCAGTAAGTTTATCATTTATCACGCTTCACTCAATACAAGCAGTAAGTTTATCATACTTCACTCAATACATGCAGTAAGTTTATCGTTTATCATACTTCACTCAAGACAAGCAGTAAGTTTATCATTTATCATACTTCATTCAATACAAGCAGTAAATTTATCATACTTCACTCAATACAAGCAGTAAGTCTATCGTACTTCACTCAATACAAGCAGTAAGTTTATCGGACTTCACTCAATACAAGCAGTAAGTTTATCATTTATCATACTTCACTCAATACAAGCAGTAAATTTATCATTTATCATACTTCACTCAATACAAGCAGTAAATTTATCATACTTCACTCAATACAAGCAGTACGTTTATCATACTTCAATCAATACAAGCAGTAAGTTTATCATACTTCAATCAATACAAGCAGTAAATTTATCATTTATCATACTTCACTCAAGACAAGCAGTAAGTTTATCATTTATCATACTTCATTCAATACAAGCAGTAAATTTATCATACTTCACTCAATACAAGCAGTACGTTTATCATACTTCAATCAATACAAGCAGTAAGTTTATCATACTTCACTCAATACAAGCAGTAAATTTATCATTTATCATACTTCACTAAATACAAGCAGTAAGTTTATCATTTATCATACTTCACTCAATACAAGCAGTACGTTTATCATACTTCAATTAATACAAGCAGTAAGTTTATCATACTTCACTCAATACAAGCAGTAAGTTTATCATACTTCACTCAATATAAGCTGTATGTTTATCATACTTCACTAAATACAAGCTGTATGTTTATGGTATGTTACTCCATTCATTTATGCTTTATTATACAGTTAACGACATCCATGATTCACGTAAACATTCTGATGTTGATTATACCTGTACATGAATAGAATTAAAATAGAATTGACACCTTATACACCTTAATACTTTATAATAACCTATATTTTGAAATCCGAAGAAGATTTTTGCTCTTAATGTTGTCGGCTTTATTTGAAATATTTCAAGGCTAAATCTTGCTGCATTTGTAACAGCCAAAATTAAGTTTTTATTAAATGAGCAATTTATTGTAATATTGTGTAATTAATTACAATTTAATATAGTATATAACTTAATGGAAATGTGGTTTCCATATGTTACCTCAAAATATTTATTACCTTGAAACTTACGGCTGATAGTAAGTGTTACGTATGTATTACCTGACAAAACGAAAGGTTGCAGCCGACGACTTAAACTGTTTGAATAAAAAGGATTTTGTAAGATATAATTAAAAACCTCCCTTCATTATTGAAACATAGACATTATATTAATAATTATGCCGATTTAAATAATGTTATTTACGCTCTCTTAATTATTGAAACATGGAGAATAAAGAAATTTTGATTTACAGCTACTTACTATATTAAAAAACACTTAGACTCGATTCATAAATCTCATATTACATTTAAAAAATCATGTAAAACTCTATTTTTTCGCTGTATTTAGTGATGTAAATAACAGAAAAAAACCGATGATATAATTATGACGATAAAATAACCAAAAATGTACACATTTATGATAGTACTAGTAACCACAGATAATAAAGTTTGCAGATTGAGGATGTAAAAGATGGTATTTTACAGTAAGGTACAACCTTAAAAGACCAAAACTAAAATTGACACACCTATGTATTTCAGTTACAAGGCAGTTTATTGGCCGCTGGTGCTGTCCATTTTTTGTTAGGAGCGACTGGATTGGTTGGATTTTTGCTGCGATTTATTGGACCAATAACTATCGTCCCAACCATTCTTCTCATTGGTATATACATGACAAAAGCAGTAATAAAGTTTGCCCAAGTCAACTGGCCGCTGTCTTTGATGTACGTTGTATTTATTTACTAATATATGCACATACATGGTCAACTTGTATTTCTTTGTATAATTTGTTACGTATGGAACGTTATTTTCATTGATGCTTGATACATCACCATCAACTGATTGACGTTCACGGCTGTTTGAGTGAAATGTTAGAAAATAAATGTCAAACGCAATATTACCCGTTATTCTTAAAGCGACATGACACAAGTAATGTCAGCTGGAAACAAAAATTAAAGTAAGCCTAACTATTAATGTTTTATACCATATTTCTTATTTTTATTATGCTTAAACAGATTATTGCAATTAAATGGATAGCGAACGTTCCAAACTCGCTCAATGTGCTACAAATACAAACTTTTGTCTCTTACTTAAACCTTCCCATTAATACTCAGCCGAACGGAAGATAGTACTATCACAACATCATCTCTTTTTTAGGACATGTGCCATAGCCATTATACTCTCCTTGTACTTAGCTAAGATGAAAACTCCCTTACCGATGTGGTCAAGGAAGAAATCCTGGCATGTCATTCGCTACCCACTTCATCAGGTGTTCGCTGTAAGTATATCTCTGTGAATGGCGTTATATCGCAATGATACAACATTTCGGTTAACTACATGAGGTTCAGTCTTTGCCTACAAAATTATTATACTGTTGGCTGGTAACTTAAGCCTATACATTATGAAGGGCGAAAGTTTCCCAGCATACATTATTCGGTAATTTCAGTCTATACATTATTCAGTAATTTCAGTCTATACATTTCTCGGTAATTTCAGTCTATACATTATTCGGTAATTTCAGTCTATACATTATTCGGTAATTTCAGTCTATACATTTCTCGGTAATTTCAGTCTATACATTATTCGGTAATTTCAGTCTATACATTATTCGGTAATTTCAGTCTATACATTTCTCGGTAATTTCAGTCTATACATTATTCGGTAATTTCAGTCTATACATTATTCGGTAATTTCAGTCTATACATTTCTCGGTAATTTCAGTCTATACATTATTCGGTAATTTCAGTCTATACATTATTCGGTAATTTCAGTCTATACATTTCTCGGTAATTTCAGTCTATACATTATTCGGTAATTTCAGTCTATACATTATTCGGTAATTTCAGTCTATACATTATTCGGTAATTTCAGTCTATACATTATTCGGTAATTTCAGTCTATACATTATTCGGTAATTTCAGTCTATACATTATTCGGTAATTTCAGTCTATACATTATTCGGTAATTTCAGTCTATACATTATTCGGTAATTTCAGTCTATACATTATTCGGTAATTTCAGTCTATACATTATTCGGTAATTTCAGTCTATACATTTTTCGGTAATTTTAGTCTATACATTATTCGGTAATTTCAGTCTATACATTATTCGATAATTTCAGTCTATACATAAATCGGTAATTTCAGTCTATACATTATTCGGTAATTTCGGTCTATACATATTTCGGTAATTTCAGTCTATACATTATTCGGTAATTTCAGCCTATATATTATGAATTCGATATGGAATAGCCCGCCTTCTCTGATTTGATTTGCGCTCCGCGTCTCTGCAATAAAACAGTGTTTGTGACAGTTTAACCACTAAATACCTCCACAAATCTCAAAGTATCGTTAAGGTACCCCTAATTAGTAAACTATCATAAGACATACCTTTACATGGCGTTGTTTATATATCAGATTGCCGCCTTTCTCATTTAGATTAATTAATTAAACTTAAGAAGCTGAACTTGCTATCTCAGTGATGACAAGGTTTATGTCTCTGTTTAATGTATTGTTATTACTTCTTAAGACTCTAATGAAACGTACAACACATTTTCATAAAATATTTGTCAATGATGCATCTTTGAGTCCAAGGGTAACACATCGATAACATATCTTCTTTCAGAGAAAGTAACAGAGCACACCTGGAATTTCGAAAATAAATAAATATGTATGACTACACATATAGATGTTTATGTATGACAGATCCTGATAGCGTTGGTGGTAGGTTGGGTGATGTGTGCAGTCCTTACGACGGCCGGGATGTTCAGTATGGACAGGGATCATAAGGACTTCTACTCCCGAACAGATGCAAGGACGGACATTGTCCAAAGAGCTAGCTGGTTCCACTTTCCGTACCCCGGTAAGTTGCACTAAACAAAAAGCCATCTGACTCTAGTCGTTATAGATTAGTTAAACTATACATACCCTGGTTAGCAGAACCTAACAACTCGGTTCTAATTTCCATGATCTTATACGTGCCTAATCAAAAACAAACTGGTTCTTCTGTTCTTTTCCCATTACGTAGAACTAAAACAAATGGCTGGCTGATTCTACTTTTTACATATGAATGGTTTCAGCTCCATACGTTGTCACACAACACTAAGCAGAATTGTGGAACCATGATAATACGTCGTAGGGTATATTAGAAAATTTTGTGATATTAAGTTTAAGACAGAAACTGGTATATCCAAAATTGTCGAGTCCAAAACTGCGGAAGGCTCAAGTTTTTGCCACTCTTAGAATTACACATCAGCACACTTCCATATTTTCTAGTGTTGGAAATTGTCACAATTTGATCACTTCTTTTAATCAGGTCAGTTTGGACCAATGAGGTTTGACGTCTCAGTGTTTGTTGGCTTTATGGTGGCAACTATTGTTTCCATCCTTGATTCCATTGGCGATTACTACGCATGTGCCTCAATCTGCAAAGTCCCTCCTCCCCCTGCACACGGTGTTAACAGAGGTATCGCCATCGAGGGGTTCTGCTCCGCGTTATCTGGTGTTATCGGGTGTGGGCATGCCACCACCACTTACGGAGGTAACATCGGAGCTATCGGACTGACACGGGTAAGTGTTGGTTATGTCACGCTTAGGTTGCAATGTATTCAGTAAACAGTAGTCTATGAAGAGCGCCAAAACATGTTGGTCTTTCCGGACCACCAGCATTTTCTTTTCGATTTCCTTTTACAATAGTTCGTGATCTCCTTTCTTTTAGATTGCTTTTCATCCATTCCCCCGGGTATCGTTTTGTAACGACTCATAATATGATTTGATTTTGACCTGTTATATTTTGACATGTTATTATTTTTCTTGATGGAATAAGCTAAATGCAAATATTTTAACTTTTATGGGAATATAACCATACTATGTAATGCTTTATATTTAACGATGCAATGTCTAAATGTACCGTACCAAAATAGAGAAACTCGTCCTTTTCATTCTTTGTACAGAAATTATTAATCCCTTTTTCATTACTATTTCAAGATTCGGTACTTGAACAATATTTTTTAAATATACTGATCTACATTTTATTCCTATTATATGTTTAAGGTAGCTAGCCGTTATGTATTCATGGCAAATAAACTGAGCTACATTTTATTCCAATTCTATGTTTAAGGTAGCCAGCCGTTACGTATTCATGGCAGTTGCACTTATCTATATCATATTTGGTCTCATCGGGAAAGTATCCGCCGTTTTCATCACCATACCGTATCCGGTGCTAGGTGGCGTTCTCATGGTCATGTTTGGTGCCTTCAATGGAGTAGTTCTGTCCAATCTGCAGGCTGTCAGTCTATCATCCACTCGGAACCTCACCATCATAGGTACAGCCCTGTTCGTAGGCTTGATGGTACCTCAGTGGGTTAAAGACTACGACAAGCCTATCAACACAGGTACACATCTTCTATTGGAGGGAAATTATTTCGTCGCCATAATAACTTTCAGCAATTAAATTCCACTTTCTTCTATGATAAGACACTTGTTTAATATTTCTTTGATAGTTCCTGACCATCCGCCACAATTTCTTTGATTTTACTCGCGACACGGCTGTTGTCACTTGTGGTGATGGAAACAGAACTGGTTTTTATTCCTGTTTGTGTTTCTTTGGTTTTCTAGTTTCCATGGTTATTCCACGATTATTCATAATGTCCTATTTCCTATTATGATGTGAGGTATGGTCGGTTCCTGGTGTTGTCTTCCCTTCCGTTTTGGTTTCTCTCAGATAACGTGCCTTTCCTTCCCTTTTGAATTGGTGTCTCTGCGGTTCCTGGTATTGTCATTCCTTTCGTTTAAGTGTCTCCTCGTATCTTGTACTTGCCTTTTCATAATCATGATGTAAATGTCTTGCTTTAATTTGCTTAACTGTAAGGTGAATACACATTGTAGCACAATCTGTAAGCTTCTTATAAGCATATATGAATTAGATTTATGTTTGAGGATTTCATTTTCTTAACATATCCCTATACATTAGATACCATTAATACTTAGATATATTATGATGTTAAATACTCCTTAACCTAAGAGTATTGACTTGATTAAGAACACGGTATACCTGAAAATCAAACGCATTTATACACAAATAGAAAATTCAAAATATACGAAATTTAAGGTATCTTCAGTCAAGTATTGTAGTATGTTAAAATAATAAACAACACTCACTTAATTAAACTGAAATGTTTAACTGTATAAGTTCATTCGTGTTACGTAATATCTATATAAATATTTACAATTGTGTTCTGATATTCTCTGACATCATCTTTAGGAAACACTATAAAGGGGACTAACTCTGTCAGTTTTATTGTTCTGTTCGGTTCGGTTGAAATCAAGTGTCGATTGTGTTTGTGTAAAAGTATAATAAATGCATGTATGTACCATTCTCACAGGAAACAAAGACGCAGATGATGTGATTACGATGTTGCTAGGCAACCCAAACCTAACGGGAGGTGTACTTGCCTGCTTCCTTGATAATACAATACCTGGTAGGTACTTAATAAGATGGTGCCATAATAGATATTAACAATTATTTTTACAACGTTATAATCATTCGATTTCTTAACAGTTTTGTTTTATTTATGTTTTGTTTTGTTTTTGTCTGGTTAACAATATTAAAGATACTGTTTATATCTATGACAATATAAATACGAAACCTACTTGAAAGATGATGCATCGGTTGCAGTTATTAGGAGGCAGACATGAGTATTTAACACAGACCACACACTTAACAATAAAACGGAATATCGAGGTATTCCACCATGAAACGGACTAAAGTAAAGTAACACAGCAAACTCCGAGAACTGTAATATTGCCTACTTGTTTACAATTTTCCGTCTTTTGACTTTCTATAGCAAATTCGCCCTGCCAGTATACTAGCCTGTAGTGTAAACGTTTTTGTTTTGGTATGTTAACGTATTGTCCTCTCGTTCAAGATCAAAAATAGAATTGTAGCAGAACAATTATTTCCAATTCCATTTTAAAGAATAAACTCGCATGACACATAATCAAACATAATTTGCTATCTGAACTATTCCTATATAATGAAATGTTTCAGGTACGAGGGAAGAGCGGGGCCTTGCGGCCTGGGAAGCTCTAGAAGATAATCCATCGGCAAATTATTCGGAGGGTTACGAGGTATACAACCCTTTGTTCTTTGACAAAGTGAAGCACTTCAAGATACTCAAATTTCTGCCTTTCATGCCTGCTCCACAAGTCAAGGGCTTAAAAAGAAAGAGATTCTTGTCCCTAGATCTGGGAAACCACCATGGCATGACCGGCGCCTATACTACTACAAGATGAGGGCAACTGCTTTTCTATTACTTGGTGATATGTTGCTTTAAATTTCTAGTGATTGCCATTGGTGCGTGTATTTTTTCATAAAAAAACTGTAATTATAATGGAATAAACAGTTACGATACCAAAGCCAGTATACACATTGTATTAAATGGTATCTTTACAATAGCATAGATGTTTCTGATATTGAGTGAACGTTAATTGTAATAATGAAGTTATATTTTTCCATAATCGCTCTCATTTTTTAATTAATTTCTTAATGGTGTTACAACTATTGAAATGTGTATCGGATAACCTCTCAGGATTGACACCCGAAAAAAAGCCGATGAACTCGAGACAAAACCATCTCCGAATAGATGGTTACCATAAACTGTAGGCTAACCAATCACACATAGTTTATTTATGTGGTATAGAACCTGTCGACCTTAACATTAAAGGGTTGTCAGCTTGTACCTTGCCTCTACCTGCACGAACAATATAAATATAAGTAAGCATGAGCATTTCCATATTCACTACCAGAAGCTTGATATCTTAAGTTCACTGTTAAGCATATGAAAAGTGAACTTGACAGCGCTTTTGTTAACCGACAACTTCATTGCTTCTCTACTTTTATGTACATCTTTATTTTAACCAGACATTGCCAAATAACATAACATGTGTATGTATATGTCAATATTGATTCGTTTGAACAGCATGATGACGGTTTGACTAAATGTACCTACATAAAATGGGCCAAATTAGTACGAAGCATCGTAAATATCTTCAATCTCTTGTCTTTTCAATTGTCTTTCATTGGTGGTATTAGTCGAACGTTCATGTCCTTAAAAATAGCAATTACCGCTATATTTCCTTTACAGAGTAAAATATTACCAACCATAACCTGGGAACGATCTTTAACACTGTACGCTGTGCGTTTCATGTGTCTATATCAGAGAACGAACACATCAAAGAACAGCCTATTAATCGATATTGATTTACAACGAGCTACAAAAATCGATATGTCTAGAACGCAATACAACACCAACACCAACAGTTAAAGATTAAGGTCCATGCCTCGACTTGTTTGTCATGCTCAATTCATTGCATTACAATCGTCTAATGATTGTATAAAAACCTCGCCATAATCGGATATACTGCTTGTGTCACCGTTGGGAACAGAAGTATCTTAGCAACACGGATGTTGAGTACAGTGTTACAAAGGTGTATAGTAATGATTAAGGCTAATACTGTTCTGATGAGCCTGTCCAAAGAAATGACAATGATGTGAACAATTAAAATGATTTCTCAATTAAAACGATTTCTCTAAGGATTTATTTCATATAGTTTATTAAAAGATGTGCTAAATTATAAATACAAGTGAAATATTTGTAACAAATTTCGTTTGAATTCTTTGAAGAATTGGCCTTTATACATTTCCCCCTGAGAGTTAAGACGCCGATGTCAACGAGTAGAATATTACACGGAAGTGACAAGACGTAGAATGGAATAAACCCTTCTTCGAAACTTAGTGGAAGCCATCGATTCCTGTTCGGGATATGTGGGTAGTGATTTGTGGCCATGGTGACGGGTACAGAGGCCTGGGTAGGCCGGGTGGACATAGTCATTCATGGGTAAAATGATTGTCAACACTGATCGCGCTGTGCAGTGGTGTTCTGAGAGAATCTGATCGATCTGTGAGTTGGAACGCTAATACGGTTTATTGATTTTGCATGAATGAAGCAGACACCCACTTAGTCGGATACTTGTCTACATGTGTAGGCACGGGGACCTCCTGAGCACATTGGAACTCGTTCCTGTATGGAGATAACGTTACCTACATTGAGGATCGTAAAGTCTGAATACCATTAATGTGGTAAACTTGACATGTACAGATATATATGACTTATTCAGAGACAAATCATGCATCACAGATTATAGGTAATGTTTTGACTACCGTTGCATCACTACGATTCGGCTTAGTAAGACATCCACGTGTAAAGTATGCTTTATCGATGATCTAATAACTAGGCATGTGTGTGTGACAGTTAATGACTAGTGGATGAGGGAGTTCTAGAATATACTCGTTACATTGTCTACGTCAACACATTGGTTATTCCTTATTATATACGCAGGGAGGACGGATGTACATAAGTGTTCTACCTAATATGAAATGCTAATGTACCATGTACAGCGACACAAAATTGAAAATTTACATTCCGTACACCATAAAGGGAGAATGAGTATACTGTACTGATGCTGTTTCTGGTTTTGAAAAAACTAATCTAGTCTTATCACGTGTCATTTATTAGGCAGTTTTCGGTACCTCTTTGTAACTTAACCGGACCATTTTTGAAGTTCGCGTACTTAGTCTGGATTTAAAACTGCTTTGGAGTCTAGCAACTTTCTTCTGTACTGTCAGTGTTGTGGCAATAATGGCAGATGAAGTAATCAATGGTAATGAGCACGTGTCTATCTGTTTCCTGTGTCAAGACGACTTCCGGGACCCACGTCTACTTGAGTGCTACCACACGTTCTGCTTTAAATGCATCAAGACGTACCTCGACATCAACAGCCGCGGAGGTATGTACAAATGTCCTTTGTGTAAGGTCGAAATGAAGGTTCCTTTGCTTGGAGCCATGGGTCTGGAAAAGAACCATTACACCGAGTCAAAAAACTCAGATCTGCGTGCTGGCACAAACTGTGATATTTGCCAGCAGAGAACGCCAAAGATGACCCACTGCTACCAATGTGAACAGAATATGTGCGAGTCATGCGTCGCGTATCATGCCAGGGTGGAGTCCACTAAAGATCATAACACAGGGGAGATAACCGAACCCGACCGTCCGAGAGATCGACATATTGTACGCTGCTTCATACATAACGCCGAAATGCAATATTACTGTGAGGAATGTAAGGAACTGATTTGTCTCGACTGTAATATGACGTCGCATAAGCTTCACCCGTGCAAGGAAGTGGGTGAGGCTGCTGTGTCGTATCGGACGGAGCTCGCCGAAGAATTAAAGAAAGATGAGTATAAGAGTCACTTAAAAGAACTATCGAAGGGTAACAAGGAGGTACAAATAGACAAAGAGAAAGCAATAGCTCTTTTAGATAAACAAAAGACAGACATTCAAAAACATTTGGAAATTATACGGCTTGAGGTTATGCAGCAATTTATAGACGATGAAGATCAAGTATCCAAAAGTCCAAAAGGAGACGAGGATGAAGAAACGAAAGATGACAAGTTCAAGTCATTTGCAGATATATATTTCCTAACCTCTCAAATGTTAGACCAAGCAGACGATACAGTGATTGTGGAACACGGTGCCAAGTTGCTTGACAGTCTTCGAACGATGAAAACATCGGGCGAGAATTCCAAAGCTATGAGAAGAAAAAACATGTCATTTCAACCAGGAACCTTGAATAAGGAGCTTTTACGAAGGATGTTTGGTAAAATAACCTTTACTGAAAAATGAACAGTGAAATGGAACAGATATTAGTTTGTTTTAATGTGATGAACAAGGACGTTTACTAAAGGCGTATTGTGGTGTTAGCTGTATCATTGGCCTGCCTCACATAAGACCTGTGTGTACCAGCTTACCCCTGGTTAAACAGCATATTTATCAAATTTCACTGTTGCTTTGATGCTTATAGTGCATTACATGTCCATGTCGTTCACCTCGGCTAAATAGAACAATCTTGCGGAATAACTCAACATATATTTTTATTAGAATAACCAGCGTTTGATCAATATCTAAAGTATGTTTTCATACCACTGCTCATACAGAGTGTCCTCTAAAGGCTACTGTGTAGGTTCAGAAATCCACCATCACCGGAAAAACGGTTTACATGTTTTTTTAGAACTTTTCACGGCAATGATTCGTCCAATGAAGCTGCGAGATATTATCAAGTTTATGCTTAATGTGCTTCAAATCAATAATATCACATAAGGTCCGGGTTACATGTTTGTTTAATTAATTGTTTAGCAAACATTGTTAAGTGGACCTAGTTATTCAAAACTCCACGAACACGCAAGTATTTAAATGATTTCTCTGAAGAGAAAAATTTGTAAAAAATAATGAGACAATGAACAAACGGGCCAATGCCTAACTATATTTAGGTTTCTCTATATCCCTTTCATGAAGAGTGGCCTATTGCTGTGTAGTAATTATGAAATTGATCGCTGGATTTATTATAACGATACAGCTGATATACTACTAGTATATTGCGTGGAAACACTGTATGGATACAAAGCGAATGAATCAGAAAAAAAGCCGCTCGCTACATCAATGATTCGCCACATTATTATTTTTCTACAATTTCCTATTCTTTTGAATCCAGATAAGAATTTGCTTTTTCAAAACACACACTATTTTATTGGATGTAAACTAAATTAACCCCAGAAAATCCTCCCTTCCTCATTGTTACCGTCATTTGTTCATGAAAAATCAATATGGTCTCGGAGAGAAAGTGATTGTTATGATATCTTTCCTTTTAGATTGATACCAAGACGGATATCCGTTTTACCATTAACTTTGAGCATGTGGAATATTCTAGAAACCATGAGAGTATCGTCGTCCATTAGTGTTTCTAAGAAATTAATTATTCCTGGTATACCCTGATATCATCCTTTATGTTTCAGTATTGTTGAGGGAGGTAAAGATGGTCTCGGAGAGAAAGTGATTGTTCTGATATCCTACCTTTTAGATTGTCACCGACACGGATTCCTGTTTATTACATATATTGAGTATGTGGGATAATCTAGGAACCATGAGAGTAATGCCGTCCATTTATGTTTCTAAGAAATTAATTATGCATGATATACTCTGACATCCTCCCTTGTGTTTCAGTGTTTGTGAGGGCAGTTAAGATTAAGACCAAGCTTCTAAAAGCTATAGAAATGCATATGAATATATCGAGATATACATCAATCCGCCCGAAGAAGCCCTAGAAGGCAGAAAGGCCTAGCGGACGATCTGAAAGATTTTTTTTTTATTCGAAATATATATATCGAGCCAAAATTGTAATGGCATACGATAAACTTCATTAAAAATATTATTGCCATGAATTGACATAAATGTTTATGTTGTAATTATTTATCTGTATCATTATATGTAAAGGATAATCTTGCCGTAGACTTAAATTTATCATAGACAGAATTATTAAGACACGTAACGTGCAAAATGACAGAAACTCCGGTAAAACAGACGTTTTTCTAACTGTATTGAACTCGTAGGTATAGCATTACCATAAATATAATCAATCGATTGACTTTAATTATACATCGTGAGAGACGCGAAATATTTCGATTGCGATAGCCTTTATTAGTGACTTAACATGAGCAAACTAAAGGGGCATTAAAATACATAGCTAGATTTATAGTTCAGACCTAGAACAATCAATTTATTATTATAATTTGTGTATGAGAATGTTGCTATGATTATAAGAAATCAGGTTTGTAGTGTTTTGGATTTAAAAATAAAATGAAACTGAGGACAGTAACAAAAACAATAAAACAACAAAGACCACGTCATATGTTGTAGATCGTGAGTATAAATCAATCATATTTAAGTGTAAAAGACAGCATGAATGTTCACAAAAATATAGGACATCTTCGAAATAAAAAGAAACACCTTAAAATGACTCTTAAATGATATACCAGTTCGTCAATATATGTTCATCTAAATTGGTCTAAATCATTTCTTTTAAAAAAAACTTTTTTTCGTGTGTGGCTCTCCGTATTAAGAAACGGAAGTTTTAAATAGTTGCTTTCTATTTTTGTAATTCTAGTAATTTTGTATTACAGGCATAGATTCCAAATGGATAACATAGAATATCAGTATGCGTCTGTATTTCATTATCGTTGTGAGTAATTTGGTACGAATGTCAATTGTAAATTATGTATACCTCATAATACGTTAATGCATCATTTATCTTTCACGTATATGTAATCTATTTCGATTGGCAAGTACAATTAGTAAATAAGATTGACATCAATAATTCAAAGATGAACATGTTGTACGTGAGTAAACTCCGTCAGCTGTAAATTTTACATTTCAGCTGGTTGATTCAGATTAAAGGAGACTTTCTAATCTGTAATTTAATTGGGTAATTTATACAACCCCGATTCAGCGAGTATAACATAACAAGCAATACCAAACAAAGTCTCTCCATATAACCTGACGTTGGGACAAATTCTGATTGTACAGTCTATGAAAAATAGTAATGCAAATATGATTTGCATTTTGCGTTTTGTTTATGCTAATTAATTGTTTGTACTTAATCATCTGTGGTTACTGGATATGTGTGTCAGTGGTATCACGAGTAGAGTAAGAGAAAACTTTCTAACCAGCAAAATCAAGTTTTAAAACTTATCAATTATTCTAATCTTTGACCCAACATTTCAGATTTCATCTTCATTGAATTCAATGATTATTTGTGCGGTGAATAAGTATGTTTATAATTAAATTTATTCTGAATAGTTCTTTTGTATTTGTTCTCTATTCTATTGTTAATATCTAGATCGGAAGACTTTTTAAATGTTAACATTATTCAGAATTCAGGTCCAAACTGGACTGTTGTCCCTCTGATATTAGACTGATTGGAAAGGATATGTAAATGAATTAAAGAACGACGAGAGTGAAAATCATTTCAAACCATATTGAGATGGTATAATGACGTACAAGCTAAAAGGAGTAAACAATAGCAATGTTGGACAAAGGCAGGGTAGACTTTCAGAATGTGTCAATGTTGCTTGAACTTATGACTCAACTTGAAGACCAATAGCAAGGAACTGAAACAAAATAAGTAGGCATTCCCAGAACTTTTACTGAGAATGTTTGTTAAAAGTATCTTCGCTGTAAACACTGAAATGGAACATGGAACGGTCCTGTACTGTGTAAGGGGCATGCATGTTAAATGTGTTTTGAATACAAAAACCGAAACGGTCTCACTTTTCATACCGCTTAGATGTAGTGTGAGCTATATTACTGTCGTGCATCTATATATGGATGCAGAAATAGGGAGGAAAAAATCAATATCAAATAAAATAAGTGAACATTTGAAATATTTTCTCTTGTAAATGGTATGTTTTATCTTTATTATAGGGATTTAGTTCCAACAAATTCTTTTCGTTTGGTATACACTATGTTAATACCATATCACACCTCAATCACTGGCCATACTAAACATGATTTATACAAGTTGTCCTACCACGTTATACTATATCACACCTCAATCACTCGCCATACTAAACATGATTTATAAAAGTTGTCCTATCACGTTATACCATATCACACCTCAATCACTCGCCATACTAACATGATTTATACAAGTTGTCCTCCCACGTTATACCATATCACAGCTAAATCACTCGCCATAGTCTTACCACGTTATACAATATCACAGCTAAATCACTCGCCATACTAAACATGATTTATACAACAAATTGTCCTACCGTTATACCATATCACACCTCAATCACTCGCCATACTAGACATGATTTATACAACAATTTGTCCTACCACGTTATACCATATCACCCCTCAATCACTCGCCATACTAAACATGATTTATAAAAGTTGTCCTACCACGTTATACCATATCACTCCTCAATCACTCGCCATACTAAGCATGATTTATACAAGTTGTCTTACCACGTTATACAATATCACAGCTAAATCACTCGCCATACTAAACATGATTTATACAAGTTGTCCTACCACGTTATACCAAATAACACCACAATCACTCGCTATACTAAACATGATTTATACAAGTTGTCCTACCACGTTATACCATATCACAGCTCAATCACTCGCCATACTAAACATGATTTATACAACAAGTTGTCCTACCACGTTATACCATATCACACCACAATTACTCGCCATACTAAACATGATTTATACAAGTTGTCCTAACACGTTATACCATATCACAGCTCAATCACTCGCCATACTAAACATGATTTATACAAGTTGTCCTACCACGTTATACCATATCACACCACAATTACTAGCCATACTAAACATGATTTATACAAGTTGTCCTACCACGTTATACCATATCACACCTCTATACTCGCCATACTAAGCATGATTTATACAATTTGTCCTACCACGTTATACAGTATCACACCACAATTAATCGCCATACAAAACATGATTTATACAAGTTGTCCTACCACGTTATACCATATCACACCTCAATCACTCACCATACTAAACATGATTTATACAATTTGTCCTACCACGTTATACCGTATCACACCACAATTAATCGCCATACAAAACATGATTTATACAAGTTGTCCTACCACGTTATACCATATTACACCTCAATCACTCGCCATACTAAACATGATTTATACAAGTTGTCCTACCACGTTATACCATATCACACCACAATTACTCGCCATACTAAACATGATTTGTACAAGTTGTCCTACCACGTTATACCATATCACACCACCATC